AAAAAAAAAAAAAAAAAAACCTCCCTCCCTCATCAGTTTTTTGGTCTTGATAGGATGATAAACTAATAATTTTTTTTATGGGGCCTAAAATCATGAAGAAACACAAGTTTTTGGTCCATAAACCGTATTTTTCCGGTGAATAAGCCGCAAATTTTATACGCGATTTTCCCCTCGAAGTTTGGGGTGCGGCCTATACACCATGGTCGTTAACCTACTCCCAAAAAGTTCAGATCGTGAACCGCAGGCGCCGTCTGTCTAGCTTGGGCCCATGCTCCTAGCCCAATTAATTAGCCAAGCCTTTGTTGAATGGCTAGTATTTGTAATTATACTCACTATACAGTGCTGTACTGTGATTCCTACTATATTTTCTACGACAGTCAAGCAATGGTTTGGGTTGTTTAAATAATTATTTTCATAGTTACTTTCACTCAAACAATTTTGAAACACGTTTTATTCGAAATCGCTTGGCTCAAAACAATATAACCTTCTTTTCGGGAGTGTGGTCCTAGAGTTCACGTGAGCAGCTTCATTTATGATGTCGCAACAAAACACCCGTGGGCTGTTGAAACTTTCTGTTCGACGTCTGGTTCCCGGTGGCGATTTTTTTTTTCCGTACGAAACATTTGCATGAAACTCCACTCGGGTTATTTCGACTGACTCGACTCGATAATCTCAATTCTGGAGGTCAAAAGGTCATGAACCAAAGATAACGTCTACAAAACACCTGAGATACAGGATTGCTGCTCGCTGTCTGATTTTGAATGAAAAAAAAACACATTGCCATGTTAAAACGTTTAAAACGACATATGTATTATTTGATTTCGCTGCACGAATAATAAAAAGTGTTAGGCCCTATTTGAATTCGAGTTACATACTGTGAACATTTTTATTTGGCCGCGGTTTTGGATAATTATTTAACCTAGGCCTATGTCATGACGAATTCGAGTCAACTCGTCCCCCATGTCAACTCGGTCCCAATTTACTGTGTACGGTATTTATTGAATATTTACCAAGAGATTTAAATGCAAAGCCAAAATTAAAGTGTTTTTAAATCGTTGCTTTTGTTATTTCTTTTCATTTACATGCACTTACAGGCCCGTACGTAGTCAGGGGGGTTTTTAGGGTTCGGGCGAACCCTCCTTTATCAGCGAACCCCCCTTTTGCCAGCGAACCCCCTTAGCCAGAAAACGATCCCCCGCTTCCAAAATAGTGCAATTTATTACAAAATGGGAGCATTTTTGGCACTGTTTATTTGTCGCTATCGATCGTAGTCCGATCGTAGAAATCAAAACAAAGCTGCAGCCAGCTGAATGACGTAACCAGCAAGACTTCAAAATGAATATTAACAAACCTATTTGACCAATCGCGTGCTCCGGAGTTTAAAGCGAGCTTTCGTTTCAGTACGGGAGAAATCTAGTACGGTAATTAGAGCCGAAAATTCATTTGCGCATGCGTGTGAAAGATTGCATCTCACCGTATACCGCGGAATTTGAGGACGGTTCTGACTGAAAATAGCGTCCGGTTTAGAACGCAACGATAAGAGGTTGTCTTGTATGTCAGCATCACGCGGCGAGTGTAAAGGCGATTACAATGGAGTCAGGATTGGTGACTGATGTATCTCGTTGTTAACTTATGATAACACCTGTCTCTTATACACATCTAGATGTGTATAAGAGACAGCCCTAAATCTCATATGGAGATTTAGTTTGTGTAAAGCATCGTGTGTGTATGTTTGTCTTGTGTAAGGGATTGTCACCTACAAGTA